TGCTTCGTGGCAGCTATGGAAGCATGAAGGAAACTATCCTACGCATGACTTAGAAATGGCGGCTGTGGTATTTGCACTTAAGATATGAAGATCTTACTTGTATGGGGAAAAGGTGCAGATATACACGGACCATAAGAGTTTAAAGTACATCTTTACTCAACCGGATTTGAACTTGAGACAGCGTAGATGGATGGAGTTGGTAGCGGACTATGATTTGGAGATAGCATACCATCCAGGAAAGGCCAACTTGGTGGCGGATGCGTTGAGTAGGAGAAGGGCTAGCGTATCATCTGAGCAGAATGTTGGAAGCATTGTGAACATGCTAAGGACATTGCAGCTGAATGCAATAACGGATGGGGTTGAACCGTTGGGTTTGGAAGCTGCGGATAGAGCTGACTTGTTGATTAGAATTCGGATTGCTCAAGAGCAGGATGAGAATCTGAAAAAGGTGTCACAGAACGACAAGACAGAATATCAGACTTCAAACAATGGGACCATTGTTGTGAACGGACGGGTCTGTGTTCCAGATGTGAAGGAGTTAAGGGATGAGATCCTTAAGGAGGCACATCAGTCAAGGTTTTCTGTTCATCCGGGAATGACCAAGATGTATCAGGATTTGAAACGGTACTATCATTGGGTTGGGATGAAACGGGATGTGGCTAAGTGGGTAGCCGGATGTGAGACGTGCCAATTGGTTAAGGCAGAGCTTCAGTTTCCGAGTGGTTTGTTGCAAACGTTGCCAATGCCGGAATGGAAATGGGACATGATCACCATGGACTTTGTACTGGGATTGCCTAAGACTAAGAAGCTGCATGACGGGATATGGGTCATTGTGGACCGTTTGACCAAGTCTGCTCACTTCTTAGCAATGAAAAAGACGGATGCAGTACCAAAGTTGGTGGAAATGTACATTGATCAGATCGTGAAGTTGCATGGAGTGCCAGTGAGTATCGTCTCAGATCGTGATCCGAAGTTTACTTTGAGGTTCTGGAAAGAGTTCCAGGAAGCGTGTGGGACGCGGTTGCATATGAGTACAACGTATCATCCTCAGACTGATGGGCAATCACAACGGACGATCAGAACATTGGAGGATATGTTGAGAGCGTGTGTACTGGACTGGGGTGGTAGTTGGGAAGACTATTTACCGTTGGCTGAATTTGCATACAACAATAGTTACCAAAGGAGCATTGAGATGTCTCCGTATGAGGCGTTGTATGGCAGGCCGTGCAGGACACCATTGTGTTGGACACAAGTGGGGGAGCGTAGCGTAATGGGGCCAGCAGTGGTCGAGGCTACTACAGAAAAGATCAGATTGTTAAAGGTTAAGCTGAAAGAGGCTATGGACAGGCAGAAAAGTTATGCGGACAAGCGTCGCAGGGATCTGGAGTTTAGTGTGGGTGATATGGTTTATCTTAAGGCATTGACTTATAAGGGAATGGATAGGGCAGCTAAGAGTGCCAAGTTGAATTCGAGGTACATGGGGCCGTACCGGATACTGGAAAGAGTTGGCGCAGTGGCTTACAAGTTGGACTTGCCATCAGAAATGGGAGCGTTCCATAATGTATTCCATGTGTTACAGCTTAGGAAGCACATTACCGAACGGGAAACGGTTATAGTGGAACCACCAGCAGACTTGCAAGAGGACTTGCAGTAGTGGCTAGACCGGTTCACGTGTTAGATCGGAAAGAAGAGACTAAGCGTGGGAAGCTGGTCATAATGGTTCAGGTCGTATGGGACTGCGACAGACAGGAACATGTTACATGGGAAAATGAGGCTAGGATGAAAGCTGAGTATCCCAAATGGTTTGACAAGTTGCAAACGGATGAGTCGGATTTGAGGACGAATCCAGAACGGGTGGGGGAGAGTTGTAGCATCCGTACCCGAGAAAATATGGAATGATCATACCGGACAGGGCATTGTCCGAGGAATGACCGAGCCAAGGGTCGAATATTGGCTGGGAAATGAAGGTTGGACTATGGTCGGGTGATGACCGATGAAATAGTCAGATATGGGCTGGATAGCCGAGCCGGATGGACCATATCCGAGGGAAAACAGGGTCCAGTCCGTGGGAATTGGGATTTATCCGAGTGCAGTGGGATATATCCGAGAGTCTGGGAGGTTAGTCCGAGTGTCAGTGGACTGTCTCCGAGGGGGAAAAGGGAAACCTCCGAGAGAAATAGAGGATTAGCCGAGGCGGGACGAGTTGTCCGAGAGGAATAGGAAAATCCAGATGGAAAATGGAAAACACCTCGGATAAGGGCGGTATATCCGAGTGGGAAGGGATTTGGGCCGTAGGCCAAGTGTTAGGTCGGTTATTTTGGGGTTTATCGAGTGGATGGTCAAGCCGGTACAGGGAATAGCCGAGGAAAAATCAAATCGGACCGGGATAATCCTACTGGAACCAGGAAAACGTCGGATAAATCCGAGTTACCTAGGGTTTTGCGAGTATATAAGGGAATTTAAGACTTAACTCGAGGGTGTTGCGTTTATTTGAGCTAAATAAAGCAAAGAGAGAGTTTAGTCAAGAGAAAACCCTAAGAAAATCAGTTTATCCCGAGGACATCTGAGAGAGATCAGGCTATCGCCGAGCAGAACCGACCATCGCCGAGATAAACTGGTAAGCGATCGAATATTTCCCTAAGTGTTGAGTTTTCATCGAATAACCTCGAGCTAATAGCCTTGTTTTATGGAGTTTCTGAGGGAAAACAGAGTTTGGCTCGAAGAAAGGTGAACGGATCAAGAGATAGCCGAGGGGATAAGGATCGGATCGTACCGTGAGCCAAGAGATTCTTAGGGAGATCGGATATCTTTGTTTTGGTGCGGTTTTCATCGGGATTTCTTCTGACCAATCTGTTTCCAGCCTTGTCTAAGGTGAGTGCGTGACTGTGGTTGGTGTCTAGGACCGTAGGATTGCTAGGGTTGAATGTTTGCATTTTGATTGTGTGATTTTCATGTTATGTGTTTAGAACTGATAAGCAATCTTTATGTATGATATATTGTGGAGTTTACCGTGGCATATATGATGTTTAGCTATCCTCAGGGTAATCCGGATCATGTACTAGCTTAGGGGATGTGGGATTCTCGCTGAAGTAGACATGAGTCTTAAAAAGAGATTGATCTTGGTTGGTTTGGCTAGATGATCATGGCCGTTTGATATTGTTATGTCTATTGTGAATTGATTGTGTTGAATGTTGAATCCGAAAGTATGATTGTGTGTTTGGTACTGACCAAGTGTTACGGGATGACCGTACTCACTAAGTATTTATGAAATACTTATGCCTCTCATATTGAGTGTGCTGGTACTAAGCAGTAAAGGGGCGAGACCAGGCGGCAGTGATGGATATGGATGGATTGGGACTGGGTTTTATTTATGTTTAAGACGTTGTGCTTTGTCTTATGGCTTTGGTGTATGACTATTTAGGTTGCTAGATGATCGTTTGTATTCATTAGCGAACCATTGTGATTTGTTTAAGTTAGCCCAGAATCCTGTTTAAGTATTTTATGAAAGTTAAATGAATGAAATGAGTTGCTTTATATTCCGCTGTGTATTGATAAGAAGGAATAAGAATAAAGAAGAAAAAGTTTAAAAATATGGCTAAGTATAGAAATGGACTTAGAGGATGTAGTGGGACACAGCCGCGGTACGGTTTACCGGGTTGGGTTACCACAGGCACCTTTTACTTTTGCTCGAAACTCGGTCTTCAGAGCTGGAATAGATTCAAACGCCAAAATCTGCATATATAGTTTTATCGGTTATACCAGCTATACTGTGAGACAACTTATCTTAATTTGAAAAATTAAATAACAATTACCTCCAAAGGGTTGATGAACCCTGGAAATGTCCAACTTGGTTTCTCTGAAAGCTTCCCTCTGAAATGGTTGTCCACATAGAATATCTCCTTCATGTTGTCCTCAAATGTGAAATGACCCCACGGGAATGTTTCACACAGATGCAGGTCATCGACAACTCTCAAGAGGAATGGCTCTATTGGGGCTCCAACCTTTGACCTTCCTTTTAGCACAGCGGCTAGGAAGTACAACAACGCCATCTTCAGGCGATCATCACTGCCATCATACTCCATTTTAGTCAGCTTATCCAACACTTCTTCAGCAGATATTTTTTCCTTTCCTTCTCCAAAGTATTCAGCCACAAAGTTCATGCTCCCCATCTTCTCATGACCATCTGGGTAGAGGTGGCAGTCTAACCCCGAGAGGAGGGCATGTTCCTGGATGGAGTACCAAATGGGCACACCATTCACCATGAACCATGCTTGTTTCCGTTTCTCCGTTTTGGCAGTGCGGAGAAGCAGCATCCACAATCCCATATCCTTCCTCATCTTGTGGCTAACAATATGGAAGATGTGCCTGAACTGAGGGTGATTGACAAACCAGTCCTTATCTCTGTCTTTAAAACCTTTTACGATTTCCACAAATTTATGTTGAGGGCACCTTGATGCCATCTTGCATCCCTTTTTATAATCCGATGTTTTAAAGAAATAACCAAGTGGTCGCATAGGTTCCTCATCATAATCCTGAAAAAAAAAGCTGGACTAATTATACTACTTGAAATTGAACTAATTAGATTACTTGAACTACTTAGACTAGTTGAAATAATTATACTAGTTATACAACTTAGACTAGTTGAACTAATTACACTAGTTATACAACTTAGACTAGTTGAACTAATTACACTAGTTATAAAACTTAGACTAGTTGAACTAATTACACTAGTTATATAACTTAGACTAGTTGAACTAGTTACACTAGTTATACAACTTAGACTAGTTGAACTAATTATACTAGTTATACTAACCATTCTACTTAGACTAGTTGAACTACGCATACTAGCTGGACTACTTAAACTAGTTGAACTAGTTGAACTACTCATACTAGTCGGACTAGTTGGACCTCGTTATACTAGCTATGGTTCCACAAAATTTAGGGTTTACCGGTGGTTTTGACGATGAAGGTGGTTGCGACGGTGAAGCCGATTGCAACAGTGAAGCCAGTTGCGATGGGGAAGCCAGTTGCGATGGGGAAGGACTGGTTGCCGGTTCCGGAATCACAGGCGGACTGGTTGCCGATTGCATTGTCAGAGCCATACGGTAAGGGGGAGGGCTCTCGCCAATGCTTTCTTCTTATCGGACATGAGCCGCTGGAGGCGGAGGCGGAACACTGGAAGTTCCAGACTTCGATTTCTTCTGCGGTTTCTTCTCTTTTCCTCCCCTTCCCGCAGGACGCTTCTTCTTTGCTGGCGATTTTGAACTTGATGGCGGCGGTGGCAGTGGAGGATCTGGCGAGGGCGTGGACGTTCTCAACCGAACTTCCCTTCCTCCTCTCGTACGAGGTGCCATGAGATGGCGAAACTGGTAGGAAGTTGGTGGATTTCAAGGAGGATTTCAGGGATTGGTCGAAAGTTGTCAGAAATTGGTTGCAAGGGAGATCCGTCGCAAAAGAGTGAATTGTATGGATAGTGAATTAGGGATCCGATCGAAAGAGAAGGACAAAAAAAGATATAAAGGATCGATTTGAAGAAAGACAAAATAGTAATTTTGCTATTTTAATTTATTAAAAAAAAATCAAAAATTAAATTATAATATAGAGGTTATTTGAGCATTTCTTATTATTATAAGGAAGGTTATCTCAGATTATGATCCAAAAATAACACACGAAAAAGGGTACAAGAAGTCTCAGTGACATTCGTTACATATCCATTGGCTTAACCATATATTGACAAAAACATTTCCAATTTTCCTTTTTAGCAGATTCAGTTTCGGCCTCGAACAAACGCGTTATTCATCCATCCTCTTTCCCTCGATCTTCAATCATCTTCTCCCAACAGGTCCTTCCTCTTCTGCTCTGTTTCTTCAGTTATGGATGCAGACTCTGTTAATCCTTCGACTTCTCGATTCCTCTTCGCTTATCGTGATTTGCTTTCGTTTTCCGTCCACGGACGATTTCGCCGAATTCGGTATTTCTCACGGATATTTCGTGAACAGCCTTCGTTTAATCACCTTCTCCACCTCTAGAAGAATCAAAAGCTTCGGCTGTTTACGATTAATTTAACAATTTGTTTTCCAAGCTTTGTTTTTCCTCATACTCTGATCGTGTTTACGTAATTGGCTTTTCATATATTCATCAATTTGCCCTGTTTCACTGATAACAAAAAATAAACTGATTTTGAATTGTTTGTTTTTTTTTTTCTTGTTTGATTGAATTAGTTCTTGTACCAAACTGATCTTGTAAATCGCCTGGAAAAGCTAAACCCTTTTCGTATTTGTGTTAGAAAATTAGTTTACAAGACGAGTCTCCATCTAAGCCCGACTATTCATTTCTCATTCTGAATTTGCAAAATTTTCTATTGAAAAAGTGTCTTGTCGAATTTCCGTAGAAAGGTGAATTTTTCAGTTTGCCTTATACAGCATCTTTTGTTATCCCCAATTCAACTTTCCGCACAATCTCTTCTATGATCTTGTATCTTCTTCTGTTATTGTGTTGTAACATGTTACTAGTCTTGGAGAAGAAGTCTCATGTCACATTAAAATTATCTGCTCATTACTTGATATTTTTTAGTGTTATTGATATTCTTTACAGGGATGTCTCCAGCAACAAAATCAAAGTCCAAGGATAAAAAATCTGGAAAAGAAGCTCAAAAGTCATCATCAAAGCCTAACGGGAATAGCAGCATGGCATCTAGTGCTTATAATCCTGTTCTATGAACATTTCAAGTTCTTGATTCAGTCTCAATAACTTCCGTCTTGCCGCTTCACTATGGTCGTTTCCGAAGTATAGATGAGGCAGATGTGAATGGGGTTGAGTCTGATTCCGTTTCGAACAACGGTAGCTGCTCAGCGAGTCAGAAGATCACAAGGAGAAAACAACCAACCCGCCACTCAAACAGGAGATGATACCAGGTGCAGACAACGACAAGCGAGAAAAAGTCCGCCAAAAGAACGAGAGGAAACATCAACGCCAAAAGGAGAGGCGTGCTCAGGAGTTATACGAGAAGTGTAGCACGTATCTCATGTCCAGAAAGCTCGAAGCACTTACACAGCAGCTTGTGGTAATGGGAATATCTCAAGAGCATGCGACGACGGCGTTGATGATGAACGAAGGCAAGGTAGAGGAATCTGTTCATTGATTCTTTGACAAGGGCGAGGAAGGAATAGAGAAGCAAAGCATTCAGAGTCCTGGGAATTTGAAAATAAACATAACAGAAGAGCTAGCTAGGATTACACAGATGGAGCTGCAGCTTAAATGTACAAGGCAGGAAATAGAGCGTGCTGTTGTTCAAGCAGAAGGTGATTTGGATAGAGCAGAAGAAGTCTTGAAAGGCACAAAGTTTGAAGATTCGTCTGTGCCAGTGACACAAAATGATCATCTTACAGCCAGTAATGGTTATCAGAATTCAGATGCAGGAAGGTCTGAAACACAGCCTCAGCCTGTTCCTCCAACAAGAGATGACAAGAACTATAACTATACAAAATCAGCCTCCACACCAGAACCCGCGAACAAAATGGTTCAGCCTATGAAACGACTACAACCGAGATTGGATTGGCCAAAACCTCAACAGTCTGCTACTGCTTTGATTGATAAAAGGTGGATAAATACAGGTCATGTCACTTCTGCTTACTCTTTGCCATCATCGCCCTCACCATCACCTTAGCCTTCAGCGAGGGTAGCTCGCTATATAGCTAGTGGGAATGAGTTCAAGAACCCTCAGCAGCAACAGCCAACGAATAGGGAACCGGTCGTGGCAACAAGACAACGGCCACAAGTCGAAAGCATGAATCCCGTTCCAGCTTCAGCCCCTACCAGTTGGGTTCCTGCAGCAAGCATAGAGATCATAAAGTCAAATGGCTTCATACAAACGCATAACAACATCCCTAGCGCGTGAAGCCTAAGTCCAAATAATCTGAATCCAAATCAGATATACCAGCAGCTCCTCTATCAAAATCAGAAGCGATTCAGTAACAACCATGTGGATCGAGGGAACGGCAACTTATGGACCAGAAACAACACCGCTCCATCTTCATCCATATCTGCTGCGTCTTCGTTGGGATTGTTCTCTGCGGTTGGTTCAGCAGGAACATCAGGTGCATCATCACCGATAGATTGGAGCTCTGATGGTTCGGTTGACTACACAAATATAGACTAGAGTCTAGATCAAAGTTTATCTCAAAATACTAGATTTAATGGAATCTGATTATGATACGATCTTCAAAGGCTGAGGTTGTTTGTGGAATGATGAAGGCTGAAAGCTGGACTAAAGTCATTCTCTTTCAGCCAGTCGGATGGAATATGGTTGAAGCGGAAAGATGGTGAATTGACTGACTCGCTCAGTCGGTGGGATGACTGACTTACTCAGCCGTTAGAACTAGTATTATCTGAATAACACAAACAAATCTATTTCAAAAATCAGTAGAAACAAAGGAATCTCTCAATTGAATCTAAAGACACGTTGTTTAAACAAAGAACACTTTTTGAATAAAAAGAACAAAAATTTTATATTTTCTTAGATAAAAGTGGGTGTATACAAATAAAATAACTATGAGCTTATATAGGCTCAGTACACGTCCTAAACATTAACTCTTAAGCGAGAATTATGCAAAAATCAAAGAAATATCAAAAAAAAAGAGACTAAAGGGATTTTGACCCATTTAATGGGTGATGAGCAAAAAGGCTGAATGAAGGGGATTTCTTGACTTTTATCTTGATATCTTGATGATGAATAATCTCCCCAAGCCTTGCTAATCTCGGTTCATGAAGGGAAGTAGCCGTTGGTGAGTTGTGACATGATCTGCCTGATCATGTGGGTGCTGGTGCATTGGAAGATGTTTCCTGACTTTCCTGGATTGTAAGATGTGTCTTCTGAATGCTTAGATGTCTCTCCTGGTCGCCAAAGCCTTCTTTGTAAGTAATTAAACTCGTCAGCTCTCAAATAAGGCAAGCAGAGCGTCCTACGGATTAGAAGTTGAATAACTTTTAAATCGTAATTCATTTTGGTATGAATCCGATTCGTCTCGGTTCCTTGATGAGTTAAGTTTCCAAAACATCCGGTCTTGTGGCTTGATTCGTCGTCGTTTGGCCGGAATGATTTTATTAGTGGTCGCATGTCTCCATCGGGTCCATTGAAGATCTGCCAACTTGTATCTTCAATATCTTTTTCATGTGAACTACTTTTTAGCTGATTCTTCTTCGTGGTGAACTCTGGATGAGTTGCGTATGCTCTCCAAGTTTTTTTTTGGGTTTGAATGTTTGATATCAACCTCCATTTGAGCTGAACTCCACTCGCATGTCTCCTTAGCTCTCCTCAGCTTCATGTTCTCTACTTCATGACTCTTGGATCTGTGCTCCTTGGCTGATGATGAATTGAGGTGCGTATCATTCTCACCCTCTTGAAAATGTTTCGACCTCGAAACTATATCTCCTGCACCAAGAAAGAGCAAGTTAGTTTACATTATATCTTGGGAGTTTAGAGTCATACCTTGATGCATCTTTGGTTTGCTGAAGTGTGGAACGTCTGGTGGTTCTCTTTTGAGCAGGAAGGATAGGATATCTCCTATGTTCTGGCCTGGATCGTGGTTCCTCTGTTTTGTGGCCTTGATAACCTTGGTCTTGTCCACCTTGGGTGGTGATGCATGTTTGCTTTGGTTTAACAACATGTTCTCCTCTTGTGGATGGTCTTTATGTTTTATGTCTTTAGTACCTGAAACAATCTCAAATCTTTGGACAAGAAACAAGTGCATTATGGGTTTCTTACAAAGCTTTAAACTTGTTAAGCCTAATTTCTTTTGTTGCTGTTTTAGACAAGGTATTGAGTTCTCACTTTTTCTTATTTCTAGTAAGTTCATTACTTTTGAATCTTCAGAAATAATTTTAGTAAATGTATAACTTACCTGAGGAACACTCTTAGTGTTCTTGCTTCCCAAATCTGTAAAGTGATGTAATATTTGATCTGGAGGCTTCTCTTTGAGGTTGTCTCCTCTCTTAGTAATCTTTGTATGGTCTATACCTGATAGTTTTCTCAAGGACAAAAGCAAGTGCATCATATCTGGGTTTAAAATCATAGAAATAGGCTTTGAAATAATTTAACTCACAGTGATGTATTTAGCTAGTTGTAGCATTAATTGCTCTTTGTTTACTTGAACTCCATGGTTGCTGTTTTCCTCAAGTCTAGAGATGACTAAGGATTGTCCAGGACTCTCAGAATTTTGTTTAGAGTCTTGAGCTTCTAACTGATATGAATCAATAGTAGTTATCTCATGTTTCTCATCAAGGCGTGCTGGTGATGGCATTGCATCTGATTGCTCTTCTTCTACTTTCTCATCCTCCATTGGAAAAGTCAGTTGTAGAATCTGATCTCCTTGTAGCATTTCTTCTTTGTTGGTTTCCCTTTCTTCTTGTCTTATTCCTGGATCAAAACTCTTTGGCAAAGACAAGTGCATAAGTCTAGCATTGGGAACTAAAAATTCAGAATGAGATAAACTATCACTATTAATAGATTTTTCTGTTTTCTCTACTAGTGAAGTTTCTGCCAACATTTTCTTAATAGAACAATTTGCAGCAAAGTGTCCTCTCTTATAGCACTTATAACATGTTGGTTATTAAGAATTAACAAGGTTAGAAGACTTACCTTGGCTTGGTGGGTTTAGTGACTTTGCTATAGCGTTAGACCTAGATGTTGTTGCCTTGGATGCAACTTCTCCTTTTAAGGGCTCATCTTTGGAGCTTGGTTTCTTGTCCATTGCAAGGTTTATTGCTGGTGTCTCTTCTCTCTTGGACGTGGGCTCCTTTAAACCTATTCCAGCTTTCTTTGAAAAAGACAAGCACATCATACCAGTGGTAAATATTAATTCACTTAAAGAAGGACTTAGCTGAGCTTTTGCTTGAACAATGGTTTGTTCTGGTTTTTCTGTTGACTTGCACAATGCTCTTTGGCTGAGAGCAGTCTTCTTCTCCATGGATTGATACTTCTCTACAGATTCTTTATGCATCCTTGCCTTGAGGTCACTCCAATCTAGAACTGGCTTCTTATGGACAGTTGGAATGTTTTCCTTTAACCACCATTCATAAGCTTGTTTTGTAAGTCCTTGGACAGCTTGTTGTAACTTCTTTTTCTGGGGAATGTTGTTGGATTGTAGCCACTTCTCCATAGCACTTTCCCAACTGAGATACACATCAGGATTCTTACTTGTACTTGAAAATATTAGAGTATTAAATCTGTAACGACTCCTTTTGTTGACTTGTTTTTTTGAACAATCTGGTGGTTTAGGTTCAACATATTCAGCTCCTGGTGCATCTCCAAATCCATTTTCTTTTCTTTGTGGTTGGATCTGTGCCACTCTTTCTACTAAAGTTTGGATTTGTGTTTGAGTTTTGACAAGAGTTTCTGCCAGGTTAACACCTTTTCCTCCCATCTTTGTTATTCCTGATTCAAGAAAACAATCAAAACTTTTTTTTTATGAGTTTTTCTGATGATTTAAAGTATTCAAAACAAAATGAATGCAGCAATAGATTAAACACAATCTAAATAACTTCTTATGGATTTTTTATTTCCAACAAATGCAATATGATCAATAAACTGAAACTAAGAATGATTTCAAATGAACAATATATAATATATTTTTTTTAATGCAGAAATCAAATAACAAATAGCAATATTTTTTTTTCAGATTTTATAAATGCAAATTAAAACAAGAACAAACTGCAAATAATTTTTTTTTTGAAGGAATCAAATAACAAATAGCAATAATTTGTTTTTTTTGTTTTTGAATTTTCGAAATTTTAATGATGCAAATAAAACAAGAACAATATTTTTTTGACTTTTAAATGAAATAAAATATTCAGAAAATTAAGCAAACAACTTTTTATGGATTTCAGATTTTATAAAATTCAATAAATAAAACAATAAATAACAAATCAAAGTAAAACAATTTTTATGAGATTTTTTTTTTTTAATTAATGAAAGGAAACAAAGATAATAAACAGAAAATAAGGATAAAGGTTGGATGGATACAACATGGGGGATAGGAGCTTTTGAAGCTCTGATACCAGATGATACGATCCTCAAAGGCTGGGGCTCGTTTGTGGAATGATGGAGGCTGAAAGCTGGACTAAAGTCACTCTCTTTCAGCCAGTCGGATGGAATATGGTTGAAGCGGAAAGATGGTGAATTGACTGATTCGCTCAGTTGGTGGGATGGCTGACTCACTCAGCCGTTGGAACTAGCCTTGTCTGAATCACACAAACAAATCTATTCCAAGAATCAGTAGAAACAAAGGAATCTCTCAATTGAATCTAAAGACAAGTTGTTTAAACAAAGAACACTCTTTGAATAAAAAGAACAAAAGTTTTAAATTTTCTTAGATAAAATTGGGTGTCTAAAAATAAAACAACTATGAGCTTATATAGGCTCAGTACACGTCCTAGACATTAACTCTTACGAGAAAATTATGCACAAATCAAAGAAATATACAAAAAAAGAGAGATTAAAGGGATTTTGACCCATTTAATGGGTGTTGAGCAAAAAGGCTGAATGAAGGGGATTTCTTGACTTGTATCTTGATATCTTGATGATGAATAATCTCCCCAAGTCTAGCTTATCTCGGTTCATGAAGGGAAGTAGCCGTTGGTGAGTTATGGAACCAAGTGTAAATGCTTCCATATATAGGTAAGTAAAAGTGTGACATGATCCGCCTGATCATGTGGGTGCTGGTGCATTGGAAGATGTTTCCTGACTCTCCTGGATTGTAAAATGTGTCTCCTGAATGCTTAGATGTCTCTCCTGGTCGCCAAAGCCTTCTTTGTAAGTAATTAAACTCGTCAGCTCTCAAATAAGGCAAGCAGAGCGTCCTTCGGATTAGAAGTTGAATAACTTTTAAACCGTAATTC